GCCTGGCCGACTTCGGGCCGCCGCGCTCGCTGAGGCACGCTGGCGCGGCGGCCCACATCGCTGCCCGAGGGGGCGGTCGGAGAGGGGCGCGCTGGCAGACCGAGTCGGCGCTGCAGCGCCGCACGAAGGTCCTTGCTGATTGAGCAGCGCAGCCGCGCGACTGCTGCGCCGCTCGAGCCCGGCCGCTCGCTGGAATAGGCCGGCGGATCAGATGCGTCGGGCCATCCAGCAATCGGATGTCGCGCAGACTCCGCCGGCGCATGAGCTGCCCAGGGAACTCGAGATGGTCGGGCGCGAAGCTGTCGAGCTGTCGACAATTGGCGGCGTGGCGGACGGCGGGGCTGGGCCCGCGGGAAGGCCGCCAACGGACGGGCAGGTCAAAGCTAGGCGTCGCTAAACTGCCGGCGGCGCACCATATCCACGCGCCCTTTTCCCTGCCTTTTTTCCGCACAGGCGGCGGTCGATCTGCGAGACCGCCCGCGCGGGGGGGGGGGCGCGGCGGGCTCTACGAAGGCGACGCGCGAACCCCCCGCCCGCAACGGCACTGGCCGAGGCGAGATTGCTGCGCCGACGAAGCTCTCTCGCTTCGGTGCTGGAGCCTCGAGAGCGAGTCGGGCGCGCGCGCCGCCGTCTGCCCCCCTCTCTCGCCCCCCTGGCATGGCCAGCGAGAAGATTTCATGGAGGAATGGCAGGTTAGCAGGAAGGGTTTAGGGAGGCACTATTCGAATCAATGCCCCTTCCCCCCCCCCCGAATACGCGCCGACCTTTCCTTCGGGGCTGGAAGGAAGCGCAAGGGGCCAGGTTTGCAGCGACGCGTTTTCGAAGGCCCGACCGAAGCCCGCGGATCTGTTGGGCGCCGCGCGTTTCGCTTGCACGGCCCCCCTCGGAGGGCCCTCGGACTTCCGGGATGGAATTACTTACCTGCCGGAGGGCGCCCCCTCACTCCTCTCCAGCCCGCTCGCAACTCCTGGCTCGCTTTCGGTCGCTGCGTCGGGCGTTCGCCCTCGCGGGGGCTCTACGCCGCCTGCCCCCAAGGCGTTAACCAAAGGTTGAAGTACTAGGCGCGCGCGAATGCATGATCAAGCCTGGCTCTCCGGTTTTTGGGGCGATGTGTAAATGCATTGTCTAGCGCACTTTTGCGCTGCCTCTTCGAACCAGTGGAAAGCCTCCTCCAATAGCATGGCACACATGCCCGCTGCCATAGTTTCGGCCCCCGCCCTGCCTTCCCGGGGCGTCGGCAACCCGTTCGAAGGCCCGACCGAGGCCCGCGGATTGGTCAGGCTCCACGCGCGTCTTTTGCATGTCCGCCCTCAGAGAGCGGACTCGCGGGATGGAGTTACCTGCGGGAAGGCGCCTCCTCCTCCCGAGCCCGCCCGCAGCGCCCGGCTCGATTGCGGCCGCTGCGTCGGATGTTCGCCCTCGCGGGGGCTCTCCCGCATAGGGTCAGCGTCGTAGACGGAGGAGGACTGCGGTAGCGACGCAGAGCGACGCGCGATGCGAACGGGGCCCCAGGGCAGCGTCGCGAGGAGCAGGAAGGAATATATCATCCGAGGAATCCGCGGACCAGGGCTCCCAGCAGGGCGAAGTCCGAGCCGATTCCTTGCGCAAGGCAGGGCGCCTCCGCGAAGTCGGCTCTCGCGCGACGCCAGGGCCACGATCGCGCGAGGCGAGGGCAGGCCTGGCGAGGGCCCCGCCCCGAACAAACAGAAAGCGCCAAAGTGGCTCAATGCATGCCGAAGGCGGTTCCGAAGCGGCCTCGCGATGCCTCTGCGACGGACGCGCCCGAACTTCGGCCGAGAGCTTCCGCGATGGCCCCGGTGCCTCCCGACGCGCCCCATGGCCCGTTTAAACGGCTCCACGCGCGCCCGCGGAGCCCGCGGGCCCCCCGAGCGCGGCCCTCGAAACCTATCCCGGGGCTACCTGGGACCCCACCCAGGGCCCCCTGTCTCCGCCTTCCAGCGCCATCGGAGCCCTCGAATCTCCAAGTAGCGTCTTCGAAGCCGGCTTGAACCTCGGCGCGCGTAGCGCGCGCGTGGCTCTCTCATGCACTTATAATACGCACTTCCTGCATCGTTCATGCTGCACAATGAATGAATCAGCGCACCTAAGTCAAAAATTGGGCGCAGCAGCGCGCCGGGCGTCGTTGCCAGCGCGTTGCGCCTGAAAGCTCGGCCTCCTGCAAGGCGATGACATGGCGGGGGGCCACGCCAGTTCAATCTTGCGCCAAAAACATGAACTCGCTGAAACCACGGAACGGCGCTGAGAGACAGCGTGGCCCAACGATGGCGTGCGAGGGCCCACCGGGCGCAATTTGACCACGTCGTTCGATACTACTCTCGCAGGCAGCAGCTCCTGGAGCCCAGCTCAGAACAATTAAGCGACGCTTGGGGGGGTGGGGGGGCCCTCTGGGCCCCGCATCGGCAGCGCTCGCGCGGCGCGCAAATGCGCGGCGCGGCGCGCGCACGCGCGGCTGTCAATGGTCGCGCAGAGACAGTTCCAATCGGATTCCAAAATGAACATAGATTTCCTTTTACTCGGGTGCACATGAGAACCCAGATGGATCCAGATAAAAGCCCAGTCATTGGGGATGCCAATGATCTCATAGGGGGCCCGACAGGGCCCTACGGTTGGCGCACGTTCGGTTTGCAATGGGATTCCCGCAGGGACCAACGCAATAGGAGCCCAAATAAAACCCATCAAATGGGCGCCAGGAGGGGCCAAACTAAAAGCCCAGTAGGACTCCCGCGACATAGAGGCCATGAACTCCAAGTGGTTTCCAATATGATGGCATAAAGCATCCAACAGACATGCGACCGACTAGATGCCAACCGGATCGCAGGCGAAACCCTGCAAGGTGGAATCATCATATCAGTCGAGAGAAATGCTATGGCATTCCCATGGGGTCGCCTCGTGTCCTCTCAGGGAACCATCTGGATCCCAATTTGAACGATTAAGTCCCAATGGGACCACTGCTATGGGATCGACAACTTCTAGCACGCCAGAAGGGATCGATCTCCGGCAAGAGATGTCCCCAGATGTCACGCGGCTGCCTTTAAGACTCCAAAATGGCACGGGAGCTTTGGATTCCACTTGGTTTCAAATCGGATGCGAAGAGGTACCCAATGAGAAAAGGCCCGACTGGATGCCAAGCGGGACTATATTCCGCGATGGGAGGAACGCCATGGCATTCCGAACGGGTCGCCTTGGATCCCAGTGGGAAACCAACTTGATTCTAAGTGGAAGGAAGCCCATTCAATTCCAATCGGACCACTGCTATGCGGATGGCAGCATGTAGAACCCAGAACGCTTCAATCCCCGGCAAGAAATGGCCCCATACTTCACACGACTATCCTTGCGGACCTGCACGGGCATTCTAAGCTCAAAATTCTCGTCTGCCTTTGACATGCAAGTCGGGTGGATGCTGAGGGTTGAGCCCTTCCGCTGGGGATTGAACCTGCAGCCGGGGATTCACCTCTTCCGCGTCTTTTCTTACGGCCCTCTTCCTCCTTCTCCTGCCCCCCCTCCGTCTTTCAAACCGCGAGCGCGCGGCAACTCTATTCAGAAACGCTGGCAACTGACAAACCACGAGCGTCCTCATCGCAACCATGCAAGGCACGCCCCCCGCCACTGCGCTGAATGTTTCTAGTGGTCACCTGGCGCTCTGAGCATGCAGCCCAAAGAGGGGTGGGATCTCACGTTCCTGCGCGTCGCGAACCGGGGCGTCACTTTTCATGCGCTGCGAAAACCTGTTGCGCGCCGCCCTCCAGACGGCGAGCCCCCCCCACCCGCATGCGAGCCCAGGAATCCGCGCGCGCCTGAGACGCCAACGGCGTCCAGCAACGACAACTTGCAATAGTTTCTGCAATCGGCCAGCGCACTGAAACCTCCAGGAGGGCGCTCCGACAGCTCCAGGGCTGCATGATCCTCGCCGTCTGGGGCAACCGGGCAAACTCCGAAACTCACGGGCGCTGCCCCGTAGAGGCCTCGCGCGAGCTCGCTGACCGCACTGCGCGGGTCAATGGGCCACTGCGCCGCCCAGGCCGACGGGAACTCGCGATCGAGTCCCGACCCGTCGCAGAACGCGAAACTTCCTGCGAACCGACGGGGGGCTCTGGCTGGCCTACCTGCAGCGCTAAGCTTCCAAGAAAACAACCCCCTTCAGGAACGCGGACCAAGGTCGGGAGTTTTCTGGTCGGCGGGGCGCGCCGGGCGCGGGGTGCACGAGACGAGTCAAAACGCGCAGAACGGCCGCGGGGGGGGGGGGGGGCGAGAAATAAACCCGATCGTCGAGTCGACGGGCGAGGGTCGCGCAGGCGGCCTCAGGCACAGAAAACGGCGTGCAACATGTAGCGGAGCAGCGGGAGGACCACGCCGTCAAAGTAGACGACGGCCAGGCGAGCAGGATCCTGGAACGTGCCCCTGGAGAACCATATCACGCCAGGCGCGAGGCGCCGTCGCGCTCTCGCCACCGCGGATGCGGCATCCCTTCCCCGAACCTCGCACGCCGCGGCCTCGCACACCACGCGAACGAAAACTCAGTGGGAAAAAGGATTTCGTGCACCCAGCACATAGCTGGCAATCCGCTGGCAGGGAAGGACACTGCAGATGGATGCGGAGCTGATTGCAATGCGAACTTTAGACTGGCGCGTCCCAGCCATGTCGTGTCTTGCTGGTACAGCGCCCCCTGTCGCGTTCGATCCGAATGCGAAACCAAAAAGCCAATACATGCTTGGCAATGAAACATCAAAGTGCCACCCCCGACCCGAAGAGGAGAAGAGACGCAACAGGAGGAGGAGGAAGACAAGGACAAGGACATCCGCACTAAGGGGCGCATCGTCTAAGCACCTACTCAGGTGTCTGACGCACTTCTGCCGAGGAAGAAGAGGAGGAGGAGGTTCACTACCTATAAAAAGGAAGAGTCCACGGGGAGAGAAGGAAACCGGACGAGGAAGATGAGGCGGTGCAGGAAGAGAAGCACCCCCCGCCCCCCGGGGGCGCGCCAGAAGGTCGTCGAGGCCTCCATCTCCTCCTCGAACTGCCTCTCTGCCTGCAGGGCCGCGTCTCCCGCGGCCTCCTCGTCGCCGCGGGGGGCCGGGGGGGGGTGCGCTGTCAAAGCCCCCTGATCCTCCAGGAGGGCCCAGGGGAGGGAGGAGAAGAAGGAGGGAGGATGGAGGAGCAAGAATGAAGGAGGATGGTGATGTGTTCGGACTCCTCCAATTCCTCCTCCTCCCAGCTCATCTTCTTCTTATTATTAATGTTATTATTATGAGTTGCCGTCTTCGTCTTCTTAGTCTTCTTATCACGATTGTTAGTATCAACTGTCTCATTGTTGCTTTCATCAATACTTTTCGTCGGAATCGTCACCACCACCATCATCATCATCATCAGCAGCAGCATTCAGCATCATCATCAGCATCACATTCGTCACCATCAGCATCATCACCATTACCCCCACCCTCAGCCACAACATGAGCATCACCAACAACATCGGTAGCATCATCATCGCTGATAATCACCACCACCATAACCATGACCATAACCATGGTCATGACCTCATGACCATGACCAAGACCATGACCAGCATCGTCAGCAGCAACAGCGTCAGCATCAGCATCATCATGATCAGCAGCAACAGCACCCTCATCTGCACCATCAGCATCAGCATCAGCATCAGCATCATCATCATCATCATCAGCATCATCATCATCATCATCATCATCATCATGATCAACATCGTCGTCATCGCCATCGTCAGCACCAGAACCAGCAGCGTCAGCTTCAGCATCAACATCAGCATCGTAGTCAGAATCATCAGCATCAGCACCACCACCATCCGCATTAGCATCAGCATCAACATCGAAATCAGCAACATCAGCATCAACATCCCCAGGGCCATCCACATCACCATTCCCACCCCCTATCCCCACCATCATCATCATCATCATCATCATCACCATCATCAGCATCATCATCACCATCATTATCATCATCACAATCACCATCATCATCGACAGCATCAGCATCTCATCTCATCTCGCCTAATATCATCGAATACCAGATTAGCAGCGTCATCACAATCTCACCCTCATCATCGTCTCCATCAACATCATCATCATCAGCAGCATCGTCAGCATCATCATCAGCATCATAATCATCATAATCAGCATCATCATCATCACCTTCACATTCACCTACCTTCACGATCATCAGCATCGTCATCGTCATCGTTATCATCATCACCAGCATCATCATCATCATCCTCATCCACATGAGCATCGCCATCATCATAATCATACTAGTCAGCATCATCATCATCATCATCATCATCGTCATCGTCAGCACAACCATCACCACCATCACCACCATAATCATCACTAGCATCACCATCATCATGATCATGATCAGCATCGTCATCGTCATCGCCAGCATCACCGTCATCGTCATCGTCATCGTCAGCATCAGCAGCAGTACGATCATCATCATCATCGTCATCATCAGCAGCATCATCATCACTATCATCGCCATCGCCATCGCCATCGCCACCACCATCACCACCATCACCATCACCATCACCATCATCATCATCATCAGCATCATCATCATCATTATCATCATGATCAGCAGTATCACCATCATTATCATCATCATCATCACCATCATTACCATCAACATCATCATCATCATCATCATCATCATCATCATCATCATCAGCATCAACATCAGCATCATCATCAACATCATCATCCGTAGCCATTTGGGTACATGCCTGGGGCCTGGCAACCATAGCCGCTCGATTCATAGCCCGTTGGCTCCGCCAACTAGGCTCAAAACAAGTGGCTGGCGCCCTCTGCCTAGAGTCAGAGGAAGGAGTTGAAGAACTTGGGGGCCGCACGCGCCACTTAAGCTCGGCGGCACCAGAAGCTGATCTTGGGGGTCCCAAAACCGTGCGGTGACAGACCGTGCGGTGACCTCGAAATCCCAAGAGACCTCACCGCACGGTCCTTCACCGCACGGTCTTGGGATACTGGAGGCCCCAGTCGCCCGAGACATCCTCGGAGAACGACCCACGTCCGAAAACCGTGCGGTGACCTCGAAACCCCACCGACTCACCACACGGTGTGGTCACTACCCCGTTTGCCGGGGGCAACGATAGGGGGGGATAGGCATAGGGAGGGATGCATCGACCCACAATCGCCGACTGATCGCTGATAGGGACCAGATAGCCCCACCCCGCCCAAGAAGGTGCGGATTCACGATCGAGGGCCTATCGCCGATCCATCGACAATGTATCGCCGATTCCAGGTCGATTTATCCCCCCCTATGCCTGTGCCCCCGTCGTTGCCCCTCAGTTTGGGGGTGCCCCCGATGACCCAGCCCGCCATCGATGCGCCCGGCGAGAGCGGGGGGCCGCGGCGGGGCGGCCACGCCGCTCCGCAGCGCGGCCGAGCGGGAGCTGCCTCGGGGGGGGGGGGGGGGGCGCCGCGCTGGTGCGGGGGGCGCCGCGCTGCTGGTGCCGCGGGCGAGGCGCCGACGCGCCGGGGGGGGGGGGGGGGAGGACGGGAAGGAGCAGGAGGACGACGAGGAGCACGAAGAGGAGGCGGAGGAGGACGAGTGCGAGCCCTCCGTGGCGAACGGCGCGCACGTTGGGAGGGGGTACCCCTGGGCGAGGCCGCGAGGCCGCGGGCGGAGGGGACGTCCCGCGGGGCAGCGCGGCCCGCACCCGGGACCGCCCCCCTGCGCTGCCGCCCCCGCCTCGCCTCGCCGCGCCTGCACGCGGCGGCGGCCGCGCAGCCTGGCAGTAGGGCGGTCGGCGGGGCCGCCGCCGAGGCAGGGCCAGGGTCAGTCACCACCCACCAAGCCACCCCAACCCTACCCGAAGGCTCAGATTTACCCTCGATTTCCAGTGGGGGTGTGTCGGGAAACATCGAAAAAAACTCACGTGGAACCCTTACCCCCCCAGCCCGACATTCGGGTCTTCGGGTTGGGTTGGGGTGGTGTGGTAGGTAGTCAGTCAGGTCGGGCATGTCCTTCTATAGGCGGATTTCGGAGGAGCAGGTGAAGCCAACACATGCTCAAACGTGGTCCAGAGATGTGGGAGAGCTCGCCCCCAGACCATGTTTGAACTATTGTTGGAGATGTCCCTCCTGTCGAGGGACACGCCCGACTCAAGGCAAGGGCGGGGGGGTGCGGCGGGTCCACTCAGGCGAGGGGCCATCATCGGCGCTGTTTGTGGGCCTCCGTAGTGTTTGGCCGTATCTCGGGGCTTCCCTGGCGCCGTTTCGGCGGCAGGTCTTCCCCCCGGCGCCATGGGGCCAGGCACTGCGGCAGCTCCTGCAAATGCCCTCCTTGGACGGACGGGGTGCGTCAGTCGGGCCGGGCGAAAGGGGGGGATAGCAAACGGGGGGGGGGTGAGCATCCGCTCGCGTGGCTGAGTTTCCCGGCGCCTCCCCCAGCGCCGCAGGCGGCCATGTATCGAGGGGATGGGCCCCTCGGTGGGGCCGAAGCCAGCTGCATGCAGCAGATGTCGTACCCCCCTTTTTGCCAATCCCCCCCTGTTCGTCCAGCCCGGGTCAGGACCTCGCACCAAGCCGAGGGGCCAGGGCGGCGGCGAGAGGCGCAGCTGGCCGAGGAGGGCGGCAGACGGCGGGGGCGGCGAGCAGCAGGGCACGGGCGGCGGCGCCCGCGCGGGAGGGCAGGGCGCCCGCTGGGGTGGATCCCGCGCAGGCTCCTGCCGCAGGCGTGGGCACGCCGCGGGAGCCGCAGGCAACCCTGAGCTGGATAACATCGCGAAGTCGGATCGGCTCGGACACGGATCGGATCGTCAGCGAATCGCCCTGAGGATCGAAGCGAGATCGGATCGCCGTGCCCAGCTCTTGCTGGCGCTGGCCGATGCTGGCGAATTGGTCCGAATCGAATCGAACGGGAATCGCGGCCCGGGCTGGCGAACCGCATCGCATCGAATCGGATCGTAAGCGGCCCTGGCGGGCTGGCTGTTGCTGGTAGGAGGGTTCACGGGCGCTGGCGAAGTGAAGGGCGGCGAGGCGCGCTTTGCGGGCGGCTCTGTAACATTGCTGGGGCGGACGTGGGGAGATCTTGACAACGCCATGCTTGCCAGCAGCGACGCGAGCAAAGTGCAGCTGCTGCTGGACACGGCCATCAAACATCGCAATCACAATACCTACAGAAACAAGTAACGGCATGATCATAACTGGCCTGCTGCGGTCGCGCCAGTCAGCCGGAAAAGACGAGGTCGACGACCTTGTCGGCGCTTGGATCGACTGCAGCCTCGCCGTCGCCAGGGTGGAGGGGCTGCAGTAACATCTCACGAACGAACGAAACACCACTGCGAACAGGTGCCCGGGCCTGATAAAAACCCAGTTGGGGAGGCCATAGCCTCCTGAACCCCCAAAGAAGATGTGAGCATGCATTGGGGTTGCAAAACGAGTACTTCGAAAACGTAATGCGGGGGGGACGATGGGGAGGCGGTATCTTGGTTGTGGATGCCGACGAAGTGCCGTCGTGCGTCGCTGAAGTAGAGGTTCTCGCGTGTCGACCATTGGAAACGTCCTGCGCCGAGTGGATGCAGGTGAAGACATTGGGCTGTCCTTTGGCGGTGGTTGGTCGGGCATGTTTTGCTAAAGGTGCGAATTTATGACAGCGCCCCACCCTTGGCGTCGCTTCCCGTACAGTTTCACGCTTTCGCCTGGATGCCAGCGTAGCGCTTTCCACGTCCATCTCGCGTGCTCGTGGTTGGCGACCCGTGAAGCCATGCGCCATGCCTTATGTTTGCGCGTCGTCGGCCAGCCGTCGATCCGAAAATGTCGCGTGAAATGTTATGCGCGCCGTGTGGGCCGTTCTATATATATATATATGTATATATATATGTATATATATGTATGTATGTGTATGTGTGTATGTGTATCGATCGTAACCTCGATATATATATATATATATATCCGACCCAATGCCCGATGTCCGCGTCAATGTTCACATTGGTGGTGACGTCGTCGCAATCGCTATGCTTGTCTGGGGTTGCAGCTGCGTCTCGTGGTAGCGGGTTGCTGTCCGCGTCGT